GGTTGGCCCCGGCGTGATATAAATCTACGCAGCATGGCCACACAGGCTTCTGCAGTTAAGCTGGTTACTAAGTCTAAATGAATAGCCTTTGTCACAAAACAAACTATAATGCACATGTAAGCCTTTATTTCCTTATTACTACGTCCGCGTTTTTCCTTGATGTAAATAGGCCCAGCGTAATCAATTCCACAGTTATAAAACGGTGGTGCTGGTGTTAAACGGCTTTTGGGTAGTGATCCCATAAAGGGTACGAATGGTTTTGGATTTACCCTATAGCATTTTAAACATTTATGTATAATCTGCCTTATGCTACCTTTGGCGGAAATTGGCCAATATTTGTCTCTTAAAGACGCGAGAACTTGATTAGGCCCGCAATGTAACAAACGCTTATGTTCATGTTCTATTATTAATCTTGTTAAGTGATGTTTAGGAGGAAGAATTATTGGGTGTTTTTTATCGTAACTAAAGTTTGCGTTTTCGATACGTCCGCCTACCCGCAATAAGCCATCCTGGTCACAAAACGGATGTAATGATAACAACTTACTTTTACGTCCGACTTGTTTACCTGATTTTATTAGATGTTTTTCCTCAAAATAGACCGACTCTTGCACGTTCCTTATCAAAATTAATAAAGCATTTTGCAGTTCGGTAGTGCTTAAAGTTCCGACCTTTCGTTTTGTTAGCTGCGTTCGTGCGTTTCCTATAAAACGAAGACAATACGCGGTTACAGCTGTTAATTTGTTTAAATCTGAAAATTTAGAGAATAGTGAAAATTCACTTCTCAAAACTGATGCATGCGCTACAACTCTTTGTTCCGGGGCTTCAGATGTAACAATGTTTGAAATAGGCCAATTTTTTATATCGTCTAAAAGCCACGGGGGCCCGTTCCACCACATGCTTGAATTTGCTAACTGCATTGATTCTACCCCGCGTGATATCAAGTCAGCGGGATTATGTTTTGTCGATACGTGCACCCAGTCCTTTTGATCTGTTAAATTATGTATTTCCGAAACGCGGTTTGCGACAAATGTTTTCCATTTGTTAGGAGGTCCAGCTATCCAAGCTAAAGTTATGGTGGAATCACACCAATAAAAATGTCGATTAAAGTTAATTTTGATAGCGTCTTTAACCCTTGCCACTAAACGAGCCAAAAGTAACGCTCCACATAATTCAAGTCTTGGTAAAGATATGTTTTTTAGTGGTGCAACTCGAGATTTGGCGCACAATAAAGAAACTGTGTAAAGTCCTGAATTGTTCCTACTTCTAATATACACACACGCACCGTATGCCTTCTCAGATGCATCAGAGAAGCCGTGCAATTCAATCATATTTGCCTGCCTACATATAACCTGTCTCGGAATCTGAATATGTCTAATAAATTTTAACTGATCGCTATATTTACACCACTTAGTGTGAATATCTAGAGGAATGGATTGATCCCAAGATAATTTCAGCTGCCAAAGATCCTGTATAATTAATTTAGCTATTACTATTATTGGGGCGAGTAATCCAAGGGGGTCAAAAATTTGCGCAACGTTTGATAATATCGTACGTTTGGTAACATGATTACTGTAGATGATTCTTTCATTGTATTGAAAATTATCATTATTGGGATTCCATAAAATACCGAGTGTTTTGCTTTCACCTTTCTCCTGGAATTTAACCAAATTGTCCGTTGTTTTCTGATTTTTGTTTATATTGTCTATAACGGTGTGGCTGTTGGACGTCCACTTACATAATTCGAACACGGCGGATTTTAAAATCTTGGAGATATTCCCTTGAATGGCCATTAGTTCTGTTTCTGAGTTAGACCCGGTTAAAAGGTCGTCCATGTAAAAATCGTTTTTAATTAAATGGCTTTCCAAGGGAAATTGATTTTCATGTTCTAGGGCTAACTGGTTCAAACATCTAGTAGCTAGAAACGAAGCTGCAGCCGTGCCGTAAGTAATTGTGTTCAAACGAAAACAATCGACATCCCGATTTTGATTCGGCCGCCAAAGAATTAATTGTAGGTTTCGTTGTGATTCGTCAACTAAAATTTGACGATACATTTTAGTGATATCGGCTGTTATTACAAATTCGTGTTGACGAAATCTTAAAAGAATTGATAATAAGTCGCTTTGGATTGTTGGCCCTGTATACTGTATGTCATTTAAAGAAATACCGGAAGTAGTCTTAGCGGATGCGTCAAATACCACCCGAAGTTTCGTCGTCGTACTAGACTGCTTAAACACAGCATGGTGGGGTAAATGAAATCGAGGACCCTGTATTTCGTTTTCTGATATTTTACTCATATGACCTAGCTGTTCGTATTCTGTTAAGAATTTAATATAATCAGATTTTAAATTTGAATCACGATTCAATTTTCTCTCCATAGCAAACAACCTCTTTAACGCCATGTCCCTAGAATTTCCTAATTTACTGAGTTCCGAGATTTTAAATGGTATCGTTACTACAAATCTACCTGAACTATTTCGCTTAATTGAGCTAATAAAATGATTCTCACAATGTTGTTCGTCTAATGAAAAATTGCTGTTGTTACCTGAACACTCTTCTATTTCCCAAAATTTCGTTAATTGTTTGTCGATGCTATTATCTTGGCTATTTAATGTGCTAAGGCAAGAAACCGAGTGCCTTTCATGATAACGTTGTATATTAGTATTAATATTGCCTCCTAGAACCCAACCTAATTTTGTTTTCTGTAGGATGGGTTTTCCCTTTCCTAATTTTACCTGACCTATACACAATAATTCCCAGAAGAGGCCGGCGCCAATTAGCATATCAATCTTACTCGGTACATTGCATTTCTTATCTGCTAAATTTATGTTTGGGGGAATATGAAGTTCATCCAGATTAAATGGTATTAAAGGCAAATTGTCTGTTATGCGATCTAAAACTAAACATGTTATGTTTGCTGTATAATTATTGAATTTAGATTTTATAATAAGTTGGATCTTATGATTAATTGTGGACACTGATTGCCCTATACCACCTACAAACGAGTTATATTTGATTTTCCTGATGCCTAATTTATTGCATAGATCGTTTGTTATAAAATTTGATTGCGCGCCTGCATCTAATAAAACCCTACATGTTTGAGGTCTTCCTAGGTGGTCTATTACATCGATGCAAGCTGTAGATAATATTGTCTGATTATTGAGTTTATCACAAAACAATTGGTTGGTATATGTTACTTCTCTGCTATTATCTAGAACATCCGAGGCACCAGAATGACTAGGATTTCCATTTCTATCACGATTATTACTTATTTCTTCTAAAGTATGTTTGCCTAAATTGTTAGTATCTACGTATGTCGAATGGTCGATATGTAAAAAGGTATTGTGTTTTTTGTTACATTTCTTACAACCCTGTGAAGTGCATTCCTTTGTCATATGATTTTTCCTAAGGCAATTCAAACAAAGACGCAATTTTTTGATTTCTGCAATTCGTTC